TTCAAGAAGCTTATATATTTGACTGTTGTTAAGTATGCAAGAACATTGAAACTAGCTTAACTCGAGAAAAATAAAAATAAACATAATAATTTCTGCATGGCATTGCTTCCGGGTTTGAAGATACATAACCCTAATAGAATTTGCAAGTATGTATAATTGATTAATTTCATGTTCTTGGTGATTGCCTGGATATTATAAGTGTTTATTTACTGTTAGTAATTGTAATCAACTAAACCACAAGTTTTTTTTTTTTAATTATCATTGAGATTCGAGTGCACATGGATCTTAACTTTTACTTGCTTTTAATGGGTGCCATAGGATTTGATTATTTTCACCATTGCTACTATTAATACGTTTACATGCAAATAAACAAGAACTTTTTTTCTCCCCATTCAGATTCAAGGAGAACATGAAAGCACTTGAATGTAGTCCCATTACTGACTCCTGCAGTTATGGAGAACGTTGAGGTTGTTGCTCAAAGCAAGCCGAAGCGATCCAGAATTCATATAGGTAGATGCAGGATACCTGTTGCTTAATTAGCATGTGTCATTGGCATAGCATTCTTTTAGAGCAAGGTTATGCCCCATTTTCTGTAATCAATTTGTGTACTTTGATGTTTATTATTGGTTTCTGTGCTTTCGTGATTTCAAACATTGGAACTTCCATGTGTATGGGGACCTTATGAAAATTGGGAGATAAAATGAAGTTTTGGAACTGGTTGGTGAGTGCTGGTGGATTGTGAATGCATATGGTTTGGAATACCACGTCGAGAACTCACATTTATTTATTTCATAGTAATCTGCGTTGGTCTGAATTATGGTGGCTTAAGTGATGTTTCTCTGCCTTGCTTCTGTTGCCTAGATCATACCCTGCCACTTATTTTCTTCGGGGCTTTTAATATACCACCCAAATTTCTCTTTATACTCATCAATTTTCCATTCAAAAAGTACCCACATAACAACTATCAAATTTATCTTTTAATAAATTACAATTTCACCCTCTTCTTTCCCTTTACTTTCTTTTTTTTTCATCTTCTTTTATCCTTCTTTCTCCCATATCTAGTTGAACATAAGTTTTTTTATATTTTCAGTGTCGTAAACGGTTTTATATCCGCCCGACAAATTGAAAAACGAAATAAAAAAAATAACGGAGTCGCCACAATCTTTTTTGACTAGGTGCAATTAGCCACTTATTAAACATATCATTTTAATGAAATCTTAAAATTAATTAAAATTTATTAAAAAATAATTTAGGGTTTGCACAACAGTCTGGATTCAGGAGTCGTTACGTGTGGGGAAGGATTAGCACCCCCACAGCGTCCGTTAAAAACGGTACCAAATTAACTACATGTTATCCTTTGATTTTGATAAAAATAGTCCAATTTTCGGTGTTCAAAAAAATAATTTTCTTGATTTTTTTATTTATTAGGAAAAAAATTTATTCTCGAGAAAAATAAATTAAAACCTTTTTGTTGAAATAATTCTTAAAATGTTCCAGTACGTTGGTAACATTAGAAGAACTTTTTCTCATCTAAAGATTCTTAGGTATCGCTTCTCGGAATACCTTAGAATCTCATCCTCGGAGGCTCGAATTTATTTTCGTAGAAAATATCATGTTAAAAAAATTATTCTCAGAAAATAAATTAAACCTTTTTATTGAAATAATTCTTAAAATGTTCCAGTACGTTGGTAACATTAAAAGAATTCTTTCTCACCTAGAGATTTCTTAAAGCATCTCTACTCGGAATACTTTTAGAATCTCATCTTTGGGAGGTCTAAATTTACTTTTCGTAAAAAATTATGTCATATATGCAATGCAAATAATAACATGTTGATGCACACATTTTATTCTTTTAAAAAATTTTATTAATTTTATTAATTTTTTAATTTTAATTGAAATTTTGAAGAAAAAAAGGAATTTAATCATATTGAAGATTTTCTATAAATATTCCAATATGCTGGTAATATTTTATAAAAAATCTTCTCACCTAGACATTTTTTAAAAGCATCTCTACTCAAAATACTTTTAGAATCCCATCATTGGATTGGATTTCTTTTCTTCCTATTTTATTACTTATATTTTAATTTATTAATCAATTTTTATTTATTACTAAAAAAAATTTTACTGTATTGAAAATTTTTTTATAAATACTCCAATACACTGGTAGTATTTAAAAAATCTTCTCACCTATAGATTTCGTAGACATCACTACTCGGAATACCCTTGAATCTCATCGTCGGATAAAAATTACTTTAGTATTATTATTAAATTATTTTATATTATTGTTTTCAAAGTTTATTAACATAATTACATAAAAAAAATTTAATCACAATTTCATCATTTAATCTAACAAATATAAATATTTTAGCATACATAAATATTAATAAAATAATATATAAAAAAATAAAAAAATTTTTTTTACCTGAACCGGACCAGTCAACGGTCCGATCAACGCGCGGTTTGATTCGACAGTTTGGGCTCAGTCTTGGCTATTCAGTACCGGTTCGGTTCGATCTAGACGGTTCGATTTCGGTCTAATCAAAACCGGTCAGAGGTTGATTAAGGAAGCGGGTTACGAGTCGGGTGTGCAGACCCCGGGTCGGGCTGCGGGTTGACGTGCGGATCCTTTTGACTAAAACGATGTCGTTTTGGGTCTCTCCCTAAACGACATTGTTTTGAATTTTTGCTTTACTATATATAGCTGAAGATTTTTTTTGGTTCATTTGGCTTCTGTTTCAGAAAAAAAAAAGGGGGAGAGAGGGAGAGAAAGAGCTGGGGGAGAGGTCCGTCGGTCGATCGCTGGACCACCGCACCGGCCGCCATCTGGCTCGCCGTCGACCGTCGCTGCCGGTGGTTTTCGATCACCGAAAAATGTTAAAATTCTTCTGGTGGTTCTCTTCGACGCGATCTTCCCAGATCCGATCTCCTTTTCATCGAAAATAGCCCCGATCAGCATAGATCAGAGCTCAAAGGTTCTGTTTTCAAATTTTTTTTGTTTGTTTTGTTGAAACAAGACTGACGTAATTTTTTTTTTTTTTGCTTTTGCAAGTAGCTTCGGCGTTGGGTTCCTCCTTGCGGGGAGGACTGTGTTTATTTTTTGTGTTTCTATTTTTTTTGTTTGCTGTTTGGGTATGGTTTACGTGAAAGGCTTGGGTTTTTCTGAGTGTGGGAGGTTAAGATTTTAGGTATTCAAAAGCTTGTTGAAAAGGGAGGCTATGTGTCCGAAAGCTTTCGAAAAAAAGCGGGGTTCCAGAGAACTTCCAGAAAGGGGGGTCTGAGAAAGAGGTTGAAAGGGGGTTCGAGAGAGAGATTGAAGGGGATTTGAGAGAGTTTTTTTTTTTTTTTTTAAGGGGTAATGGCTGGAGATTTTTAAGGGCTTCAATTAGAGGGATCTAGGTGGCTGTAGGGTGGCTGTAGGTGGGCTAAAATAAGGCTATAGGGTGGTTGATCGGGGACGACAGTGCCAGCCATCCTACTTTTTGTTTTTTTCTCTTTTTTTTGTTTTTGTTTTTTATATTTTTATATATTTATATAATTAATAATTATTTTTAAATATTATTATCATTAATAATATTATTATTAAAATTAAAACAGTAGGTCCGGACAAAATCGATGTCTACATTCAGAAATCTATTTCCAAAAATACAACATAATTTTTGAAAATGGTTATTTTAAAAAATTATGTTGTATTTTCAAAAATTAATTTTCAAAATTTATATTATACTTTTAGAAATGAAGTTTTTTGAAAATGAATTTTTAAGAACCTTAAAAATTTTTCAAAAATGGATTAAAGATATCTTGGAAATTTATTTTAAAAAAATTTGAATTCTATAAAATCAATTTCTTAAATTTTAACCTATTAAAATTTGTAATTTTAGGATTAATTTGATAGATTTAAGGTTAATTTAGATTTAAGATTAAAGAAATAATAAGAGAGAAGGAAGAAAAACAATGTGAAGGATATGAAGAAAAATCAATTGTTGAGGGATGTGACATATTTAATAAAAATAAAAAATTTAAATTTAAATTTGAGGTATACATAGTAATAAAATGTATAGAATAAAAATGAAAGTGTAAATAGAATTTCCTATTCTCTTAGGATGCATATGATATTATTACTAATTTAACCTCTTTCAAATTCGAAGGTCAAACTACAAATCACGAAGCTTTGGACTAATAGAATAGCGTTAGCCTCGACTTTCTATTCAAAAAATAATTAAAAAAAAAAAAAAACCTACACCCCCTTGGCCCCACCCACCAATACACGCTCCTCGCTTTTCACCGACAACCAAACCCAACCAAAAAAAAAAAAAAAAAAAACACCAAACAAGCTAACTTTAAAAATGTCTAGACCATACCTAGAAAATCTAAAAAATTTATCCATCTCTTGACCGTACAATTCAACACTGCTGTATTCTTCGACAGCTTTTGATTAATTTAATAAATAATTTTAAAATTATAATAAAATATTTAATATAATTTTTTATTTTTTAAAATTTTAATATGATATTTATATTATAAATTTATTTATTTTTAGAGTAATTAATTTTAAGATGATTAACTTTAAATGTTAATATAAGATAAATAAACAATTTTTTAAATATCAAATTAATAAATAAATTTATAATTTATGTATTACATTATAAATTATTAAAATTTAAATATAATATTATAAATTATTAAAATTTAAATATTTTATTAAATATTTTATTATAATTTAAGGAGACAGGATGTAGCAAAGTTTTGGATAGGAACTAATTGTAGTTTCGATTTCTTAGAAATATAGGAAATCGAAGTTCTGGTGCCGGTAGACAATCAAAGATCTGAAGTGAATTAACTCAGCATTAATAACACCAAGTTTACACAAAATTGTAGTTGGAGAACTGTATCACTTGGTAAACTATAATGCAAAACTCCACTACTTTTCAACTCTAATGCCAACCATGGCTGAAAATTCAGAAATTATGTTGGATATTGCATTAATTTATAATTTACATATTAGTCAACCACTAATTTTTCTTAGTCTTTCCCATAAAAACAAAACTAAAACAAGTTGTGGAAAGATCATGGAAAGAGAAGAGAGCATTGAAAACTTTCTAGGAAAAAAAAATACAGGCGCCCATTTTGACAAAACCGTCAACAAAGTCAACTACCATTATTTCTTCTTCCTTCTTCCTACTATTCATCTTCTGCAAATTCATCGCCTGTTTCCTATCACATTCTCTTTTCCACCAGAAATCATTCTAGGAAATTATACCTGGATGTTTGGCACCATCTTTTCTTTTAAATCGTCCACTGGGGAATCCAAGTAATCCCATTTTCAGACTGTAACAGGTAACTAATATACAATTTTTTATATCCATTTTTATGGTCAATCAAATTTCCTGTCAATGGAGGGTCTATAATATATGCTTGTATTATACAATATATACTTCAACCTTATCAAACTATGCTCAATTCCAAGTGATTTAGTTTTTGTTCTCATTTTGTTGTATCCTTGAGAGCTAATGCTAGTAGATTGTACTATTAATAGTTATATTTATAGAAACTTGTACTATCTTTGAATTGCCGATTATAGTATAGTTAATACTAGAATGACAACTGATTTGGTGATGGTCCAATTGAAACTATACACAGTGAATTTAATCCTAATGGAACTGCTGCAATGGAGGATTTAAAATTTGATTATTCCAGCATGAGCATCTGGGGTGTTGGAAGAAGGGAAACAGGTGAGCCAATTTCATGCTTTGCAACTTGGTCTCAATTGCTCTTATTAATACTTGGCATCTTCTTTGGGACACAGTTTTCTGCAATTCATAGGAGAAACTGATGGCTGCAGAAAGAGATGACCCCGTTGCTATTCGTATAGGAAAAAAGCTGCAGGCAATTTCCCCAATATCATCCGATTGTTGCATCTTTAAAGTACCTAATTATCTTCGCAAGGTAAATGAAAAGGCTTATGAACCTGAGGTAGTTGCCATTGGTCCTTACCACCGTGGTAAGGATCACTTAAAACCAATGGAAGAACACAAAATTCGGTTTCTCCAATTGCTTCTTCAAGAAAGAAGGGAGAATGATGTCACCAAATATGTTATGGTAATGAGAGAGTTAGAAGAGAGAGCTAGAAAATGCTATGCAGAACCTATAGGTCTCGACACCGATGATTTCGTTGAAATGATGCTTCTTGATGGCTGTCTTATTATTCAGCTAATGCGCAAGTTTGCTAGGACCACATTGATGGATGATCCTGTTTTTAAAATAGGTGGTTTCCATGGTATCTTATGCCGTGATTTGTTATTGGTAGAAAATCAACTTCCCCTCTTTGTTCTTTGGGAGTTGTTTCATATGATTGAGATTCCTAATCCAGATATATTCATATACATTACCATAAATTTCTTCAATATTATCTTACCAGGTAAAGGGTGTATTCGAAATGACTTAAAATCAATCATGGAGATCAAGCATCTGCTAGGCCTGATAATTGACTGCTGGCATCCCCCTGCATTTGAAATCGAGGCCTATAGGAAAAAGACTAAAAAGATAGAGTGGAGCTTCATGCATTGTGCAACAGAACTCCAGGAGGCTGGCATCAGGTTCAAAAAGGCTGACGGAAACAACGTTTTCGATGTAAAGTTCGAAAATGGGACTGTCAAGATACCAACTTTGGAAATTGATGACCATACAGAATGTTTCCTCCGGAATCTGATTGCCTTCGAGCAGTTTTTCCCTGGAAGAAGTTTAAATCATGTCACTGATTATATGAACTTCATGGACTGCCTGATCAACTCTCCAAAAGATGTGGAATTGCTTCGTCAGCGAGGGATTATTAATAACTGGTTAGGCAATGATGAAGTGATTGCCACCATGTTTAATATGCTTGGTGACTCTGTAAGCATATCCCGTTATTCCTTTTACTCTGAAGTTTTCAACAATGTTAACATTTATTGCAGTAGACGCTGGAACAAATGGATTGCCAACTTGAAGCATAACTATTTTAACAGTCCTTGGGCACTTGTTTCCATTCTTGCTGCTGTTGTCCTCCTTCAACTTACTTTGGTGCAAACTGTATTTTCAGTTCTCTCTTATGTTAAGTAACTGCCAACTCTTACATGTATTCAGTTTTTGCTTTGTTGAGGGGAAAACGATCGCATATCTAATAGCTTTTTCTCATATCTATGAATGATGATGTAAAGAGATGGATCGGCAGTGCTGTGTCCCTATAATTAGTCTCTTTGTAATTTTTTTAGTGGTAAGAGATTCTTAACTTTCGTTTAGTATATTTATTTTCTGAATCGATTTAAACCGATTTATTAATTACACCCGTCTTATATCAAATTCATAAAAAAAATTACTTTCATATCATTCGGTCTCCCATCAAAACAATTCAGTCTAATGAACAACAAACTTGTCTTGCCATTTGATTCAATATCCCATAGTGGTCTAGTTGTGATTTAACTTGATGGCTATAGACTCAGTCACATGTGAGACTTGGTGCTGTTGTGCTAAAAGCCTCCAATTCAATCACACCAACAAAAGTGAAATCAAATAATAAATCAACATACAAGAGAGAATAATTTAACGTGGTTCGGTCCAATCAACCTATGTTTACAGATGAGAAACAAGATCCATTAGTTGTAGAGAATTACAAACATACATCAAATCATCAACCTCACTCAACAATCAATACTCATAAGACACTTTCAATCTCTTCTAGTCCTATGGAGTATTCACAACCCAAACAAACACAAACACAAACCCAAACCCTTGTGCACCCTTTCAACATAACCAAACACATACCCATATGCTCCCATACATCATACCTATGTAGACCTCTCAGTCTCCTCTAGTCCACTCACAAATAAACATAGACACCAGTAGAGCCCCAATACTCCTATAAGGTGTCTATCCTACAAAATCCTACAACTCTCTTACGTCTTTTTCTTATACCTAACCATGTAGAGACTTCACATATTTATAACCATACAAACTTGCCTATTAAGAATCCCTCTCCTCTTAGAATTTTTCTCCTGTAAGTTAAGCTTGCCTATAAGAATCCATTTCCTTTTAGAATTCTTCTCTTGTAAGTTAAACTTAACTATTGAGAATCCCCTTTCTCTTAGAATTTTTCTTTTGAAAGTTTTCTTGTCCATCAAGCAATATCTGACAAACCCCAAACAAATCTCTAACAATCCCTTATGGGATTTGAGTCAATATTCCCACAATCTCCACCTTGACTCAAATTTCATCAATCCATCTATCTTCATGCTAGACATGCTTAGCTCCACCTGTAATGGAAGTCTCACACTCATCTTCTTTTGTGTGTCTTCATGCTTCATGCAAACCGATCATTCAATCCTCAAAACACAAACTCAAACTTTTTCCTTGAATCACGCTCCTCTAAGCTTGCCTCTTCCCATGTCTCAAACCATGTTCTTCCTATATCTCGAACCTTCAGCTCTTTCACGTCTCGAACCTTCGGCTCTTTTCACATCTCGAACTTTTAGCTCTTTCACGTCTCGAACCTTCTGTTTTTATACCACTTGTTGGGAAACACCACAGCTCTGATATCATTTGTTGTGCTAAAAGCCTCCAATCCAATCACACCAACGAAAGTGAAATCAAATAATAAATCAAACACATAAGAGATAATAATTTAACGTGGTTCGGTCCAATCAACTTACGTTCACGGATGAGAAACAAGATTCACTAATTGTAGAGAATTACAAACATACATCAAATCATCAACCTCACTCAACAATCAATACTCATAAGACACTCTCAATCTCTTCTAGTCTTATGGAGTATTCTCAACCCAAACAAACACAAATCCAAACCCTTATGCACCCTTTCAACATAACCAAACACATACCCATATGCTCACATACATCATACCTATGTGGACCCTCTTAGTCTCCTCTAGTCCACTCACAAACAAACATATACACCCATAAGACGTAGAGCCCTAATACTCCTATAAGGTGTCTATTCTACAAAATCTTACAACTCTCTTACGTCTTTTTCTCATACCTAACCTTGTAGATACTTCACATATTTATAACCATACAAACTTGCCTATTAAGAATCCCTCTCCTCTTAGAATTCTTCTCCTATAAGTTAAACTTGCTTATTAAGAATCTTTTTCCTTTTGGAATTCTTCTCTTGCAAGTCAAACTTATTTATTAAAAATTTCCTTTCTTTTAGAATTCTTCTTTTGAAAGTCTTTTTGTCCATCAAGCAATATCTGACAAATTTCAAACAAATCTCTAACAAATTTCTTATAGAATTTGAGTCAATATTCCCAACAATCTCCACCTTGACTCAAATTTCATCAATCATCTATCTTCATGCTAGACATGCTTGGCTCCACCTGCAATGAAAGTCTCACACTCATCTTCTTTTGTGTGTCTTCATGCTTCATGCAAACCGATCCTCAAAACATAAACTCAAATTTTTTCCTTGAATCACGTTTCTCTAAGCTTGCCTCTTCCCATGTCTCAAACCATGTTCTTCCTATATCTCGAACTTTCAGCTTTTTCACGTCTCGAACCTTCGACTCTGATACCACTTGTTGAAAAATACTACAGCTCTGATATCATTTGTTGTGCTAAAAGCCTCCAATCCAATCACACCAACAGAAGTGAAATCAAATAATAAATCAAACACACAAGAGAGAATAATTTAACGTGGTTCGATCCAATCAACCTACGTTCACGGATGAGAAATAAGATCCACTAGTTATAGAGAATTACAAACTACATCAAATCATCAACCTCACTCAACAATCAATACTCATAAGACATTCTTAATCTCCTCTAGTCCTATGGAGTATTCTCAACCCAAACAAACACAAACCTAAACCCTTGTGCACCCTTTCAACATAACCAAACACATACCCATATGCTTTCATACATCATACCTATGTGAACCCTCTCAATTTCCTCTAGTCCACTCACAAACAAACATATACACCCATAAGACGTAGAGCCACAATACTCCTATGAGGTGTTTATCCCACAAAATCTCACAACTCTCTTACATTTTTTCTCATACCTAACCCTGTAGAGACTTCACATATTTATAACCATACAAACTTGTCCATTAAGAATCCCTCTCTTCTTAGAATTCTTCTCCTGTAAGTTAAACTTGCCTATTAAGAATCCTTTTCCTTTTAGAATTCTTCTCTTGTAAGTCAAACTTACCTATTAAGAATCTTCTTTCTCTTAAAATTCTTCTTTTGCAAGTATTCTTGTTCGTCAAGTAATATCTAATAAATCTCAAACAAATCTCTAACAAATCCCTTATGGGATTTGAGTCAATATTCTCAACAGATGCAATATTAGCAGAATCTTTGCCTGTTTGGGCCTTGTGTCATCATGTGCTTTTTATTTCTTCGGATTGATCTAGTCTTACTCCCTTTTTATTTCTTTTTACCAAATACATAGTAAAGGGGCAATAACAAGATCACTTGTAGTTATTCAAGATTGATAGGATGAATATTTTATCACAAGCGTGCAAATTATATGTATTATGCACTATTAAAAATTGAAAAATAGCTTGTGCTAAAGTTTCCAACTTTATTAATTGTATATGTTTCTCTTCGTGCCTTTGGTGGTTTGAAAGTGCAAAATAGGAGCGTAAGACCTAAGAAATTTCTTTGAAACTTATATAAATTTAAATATATATGTATAAAGTTTTAGGTGCGTGCATGATGCATGTGTAATTTATATATATATAAATTCAATTCAATAAAATTTTTTTTCTCCATATTTTGATAATAATGATAAATACAAATAATTTAATTTTTATTTTGATATAATATAAGTAAAATTTAATAACTTTTGATATAATTTCAATTTTGATAACCTTTTATATGCTTTGATAACTTTTATTAAAAATTTGATAACTTTTGATAAAATTTTGGTAACTTTCGATAAATTTTAGTAACCTTTTATATTAGTTTAGTAACTATTTTTGAAATAATTTTTGTAACCATTGATACAACTTTAATAATTTTTTGATAAAATTTTGTTAATCTTTTGATGTAATTTTGGTAACTTATGATATATTTTTTTGTAATTATTGATAAAATTTATGTTATCATATTTCTAACAATGAGTTCCTACAACAAATACAAGTTCCATTCTAGTATAAGATAATTTTTTTTTATATATAATAATATTATTACTCCGTTCAAATTTAAAATATATTTTCTAAATTTTGTTATTGAATAAGTTCATGGGTAGGTTTATTCTAACCTCTCAAGATAAATTTTTAATTTTGTTTTTATTAGTAACCAAAGTTTAATCCTTTACAACTTTAAGTACAAAAACAATTATTAATGATTGATAATTAAGTTATTATTAATTTATTACTATATTATTAGTAATTTATAAGTACTATACTCTTAATGATTTACTCATAAATTATAATCGATTTACTACTAATTTATAAATGATTTATTATTAAATTATTAATGATTTATTACTAATTTACTGATAATTATTATAAATTATTACTTATTTATTATAAAATTATCAATGATTAACTAATTTACTACTAAATTATCATTGATTTACAACTAAATTATTAGTAGTTTACTACTATATTTTTAGTGATTTACTATTAAGTTATTAATAATTTAGTAGTAAATTATTAATAATTTACTATTATGTTATTATGCATTTATTACTATGTTATCATTGATTTACTATTTAATTTCTCAATTATTTACTACAAAATTATCAAAAATTTATTACTAGATTATCTATGATTAATTACCAAGTTATTACTAATTTATATTAAATTATCCATGATTTACTATTAACTTATATTAATTTACTTTTAAGTTTTTAATAATTAACTACTAAATTATCATTGATTTACTATTAAGTTATTTGTGGTTTTCTACTAAATTTATCAATTAATTACTATTAAACTAAAACTAATTTTTTATTAAGTTATCATTAATTTATTATTAAGTTATCATTGACCTATTACTAAGTTATCAATGATTAATTACTAAATTATCACTTAATTTTTATTAAACTATTCTTGATTTACTAATACATGGTTTTGCATTTACAATTATGAAATGTAGGGCTTAAAATTTTAACTAATAATATATGAGATAATTTTCTTTTTATATAATAAGACTATTACTTCATTTAAAATTTAAATTTTTTTACTAAATCTATTTGAATAACTTTATGGTAGGTTTATCTTAACCCTAAGATGAAAGTTCTGGCTTCATTTCTAATAGTAATCAAAGTTCAATTTCTAGCAACTTTAAGTATAAAAAAGTTATCAATGATTTG